CACGGCCGGCGCCGCCTTGCGCGGCGTGCCTGCCACGCACTTCGTGGGCATCGACGGCGTCCGCGCCTTCCTGCACTCCTACTCGCACGACGTGTCTCTCACGGCCGACTCGCGCAAGAGCCACCTGCGCTTCTCGGCCGCCAGCTGCTGCGACACCCTCCCGGCCCGCCCGCCACCCGACGAGCCCGCACCGCTGCTCGGAGAGGAGGAACCTGCCGGTGACCGTCCCACCGACCCCACTGCTCCCCCGGTGAGTTCCTCGTACTAGATAGTGTCCATGACGGTTTCTTCTTCCTCTTTTGCCCTTTATTCTCCGTGATTTGTCGTCCGTGTAGCTGGTGTTGTTGACAAGGAAGGCAAAACTTTACTCAGCCACCTGCTGATCGGGGTTGCTTCTTGCTTCGTGGTGGTGAACGTGGGATCCGGTCTTAACCTTCCAGTTTGTAGCAGAGGCAGGAGAAGGAAAAGTGCTCTTGGTTAGAGGGTTGTCTTTTATGCATTGTTACTGTATCATATGATCACCGCCGATCCAGAATCTCCTGAAGGTCAGCTTCTCTTTTACATTTAGGGTCTTGATAGTTCTTCAATGAGACTTAGTTGGCAGACACATATTTCTCCCTCTCACAGTACAGAGCTGTAAAGATAGATATGTGAAGCCCGTGGGTTTTCCTGGTGCATGCTGAAGAGAAATGGTCTGAATAACTGGCCATTTGATTCAAAGTTCTTGGAAAATATAGTGGTCAAAAAACAACATTCAAGTTTTGAGACGCAGGAGGATCTTGGTAACTGTGGGTGAGGGACTGCTGAAGGAAACAAGATTTCGGTGACCCTCTGTTCTATAATGTAATGTGTTTTTTTCCTTCTTAAGTAAATGAGGCCTAACAGACTTTACTCCAGCTGTGTTGAGAGCTGTGGGATGTTCCTGCTGCATGTGCAAAAGTTAATGCTTTGTATTTAACTAATTGCTTAATACGTACTAATTATAAATGCCAAAATGGGAGCTTTGAGAGAAGGAAACTGATTCCATCCTTGCTCAATATCTGGATTATGCATCTTCTCTAAGTGCCGTAACTTAGAAGAGCATGATGTGGTCACTTCATTTCTGCAGATGTTATTTTCTTGTCTTCTTCTTTGTACTGATCTCAAGCTGGGCCTTTGTATTTGCTAGTATCTGATCACATTGTTACAGTTTCGTGACTGTCCCATACGTGCCTTTCATTGTTACATCTCTAAAGGGAAAGGCTCTCATAGATATGTTTCCTTAAAATGTTAATGGGAGGAATTTTCTTACTTCTGACACCCACATGGTAAGAAGTCAAATATTAACTATGGGAAGGAGAAGTTGTCTTTGCAACTTTTCTTTCAGTGGAGTATATCTGCAAGTAATGCAGATCAGTGAGAACCATGCCAGCTGTAATGAGTTTGAGGAGGTTCCTGCAGGTGTTGTGCATGAGGAGATACTGATGGAGAGGAAGCTTGTAGGGTTTTTTTAATTCCCAGGGTCCATTGCTGGACTACATAAAATGAATATGCTCAGATTCCAAACAGTGACAATTTGTGAGTTCATCAGTTTCCTTTCCTATTGCCTGTGCTACTCCCTGTTCAACTGTTGCCTTGTTTGTCTTGATGAGGTAAAGGTGTACCTGTGTGTGTCTGAAAATTTATCTGAAAATGCCACTGGAATCGCTGATCTTGCTTTTTACCTACTCATGGTGAGAAGTCAGTGCCAAATCAGGAAGAGACTGCCCCAAAGCCACTCTGGGGATTCTTTCATGTCATGCCTAGTGCCAAGGCCTTGTGTCACTTACATGAAATGCCCCTTTCCAGTGTCCAGAAAGGGGGTGACAATCCTCTGATGAATTTGGCTGGAAGCAATAACCCATGGAAGTGCAACCCTGCTTCAGGGGTTCTGCGTGTTAGAACTGCCCTGTGAAATATCACTTTTCCCAGCTATACACCCTTGTAGGATTGTGGTGTAGATTCTTCCAAAATGTCCATGTGCTGGGGAAGAATGATGGTGACTTTGAGTCGATTCTGATGACTAAGTCTTTAACTCAGCATAATATTGGTTATGCCCCTTAGAACATTTCATGTTTCTTGAAATGAGTGTGATGAACAGAGAATGTCTTATGCAGTGATCTCTGTTGTGATCCTTGTTCTCCATAAGGAGAAGTTATGTGGGAAAATTTTCTTCCAATGTTGTCTGCTTGCAAAGTTCACCTTCCCTTGTTCCATGATGTTTGGACATGATGAAACATTTTGTCTGCACAGAGACAGGGCAAGTGGAAATGTTTGCTGTAGTGTACCTAGAAATGTTTAAAAGGTTGGTGCAAGTGTTCCATTTCCCCTGGCTGTTATATGGATCCAATAATTGTGTTCCTGTGTGTTTTCCCTGTTTTCCAAAGAAATTACTTGGAGAACTGTGCCTCTTGATACTCAGTCCTCATCTTACTACAGTTGTATGTGGAAATGTATAGCTAAGATTCCTACATTATTTCGAGTTCCCATTTTTCCTCTTTTTTTTTTTTTTTTTTTTTTTTTTTTTTTTTTTTTTTTTTTTTTTTTTTTTTT